TCGCGGATGAAAGTGAGGAGTGTGGGATTTACGGACGTCACCCTCACTATTCTGTCACCCAAGATGGGATGCCGGCCCTGAACAGATGTCGGCCACAACAGGAAAAAAAAAACTGCAATTGCTTTAATTGCGTTAATTTTTTTTACGTGTCAAATATTTCAAATTAATAGCATGGGTTTACGCGCTAGTTTTGACAGCCCTAGTTTTTATGTATAAATGTAATTTTGTGTTGTGTTCGTTGCAACCCAGGAAGAATAGCCACTACCTTGTTAGTGGCTAATGGAGATCCTGAGAAATAAATAAATAGCAACAACAGAAACTACTACAGCAACAACATCAAGAACACCAACCACAGCAACAACAGAAACTACTACAACAAATCAAGAACACCAACCACACCAAAAACATCAAGAACACCAACCACAGCAACAACAGAAACTACTACAACAACATCAAGAACACCAACAATACCAACAACATCAAGAACACTAACCACAGCAACATGAGAAACTACTACAGCAACATCAAGAACACCAACCAGAGCAACAACACCAAGAACAACAACCACAGCAACAACAGAAACTACAACAACATCAAGAACACCAACAACATCAAGAACACCAAACACAGCAACAACATCAAGCACGCCAACCACAGCAACAACATCAAGTACACCAAACACTGCAACAACATCAAGCACGCCAAACACAGCAACAACATCAAGTACACCAAACACAGCAACAACATCAAGCACGCCAACCACAGCAACAACATCAAGAACACCAAACACAGCAACAACATCAATAACACCAAACAGAACAACAACATCAAGTACACCAAACACAGCAACAACATCAATAACACCAAACACAGCAACAACATCAAGAACACCAACCACAGCAACAACATCAAGAACACCAAACACAGCAACAACATCAAGAACACCAAACACAGCAACAACATCAAGAACACCAACCACAGCAACAACATCAAGAACACCAAGCACAGCAACAACATCAAGAACACCAAACACAGCAACAACATCAAGAACACCAAACACAGCAACAACATCAAGAACACCAAACACAGCAACAACATCAAGAACACCAACCACAGCAACAACATCAAGAACACCAAACACAGCAACAACATCAAGAACACCAAACACAGCAACAACATCAAGAACACCAAACACAGCAACAACATCAAGAACACCAAACACAGCAACAACATCAAGAACACCAAACACAGCAACAACATCAAGAACACCAAACACAGCAACAACATCAAGAACACCAAACACAGCAACAACATCAAGAACACCAAACACAGCAACAACATCAAGAACACCAAACACAGCAACAACATCAAGAACACCAAACACAGCAACAACATCAAGTACACCAACCACAGCAACCTCAGCAACAACATCAAGAACACCAAACACAGCAACAACATCAAGTAGACCAAACACAGCAACAACATCAAGAACACCAAACACAGCAACAACATCAATAACACCAAACACAGCAACAACATCAATAACACCAAACACAGCAACAACATCAATAACACCAAACACAGCAACAACATCAAGAACACCAACCACAGCAACAACATCAAGCACGCCAACCACAGCAACAACATCAAGTACACCAAACACAGCAACAACATCAAGTACACCAAACACAGCAACAACATCAATAACACCAAACACAGCAACAACATCAATAACACCAAACACAGCAACAACATCAATATCACCAAACACAGCAACAACATCAAGAACACCAAACACAGCAACAAAAACAAGAACACCAAACACAGCAACAACATCAAGAACACCAAACACAGCAACAACATCAAGAACACCAAACACAGCAACAACATCAAGAACACCAAACACAGCAACAACATCAAGAACACCAAACACAGCAACAACATCAAGAACACCAAACACAGCAACAACATCAATAACACCAAACACAGCAACAACATCAAGAACACCAAACACAGCAACAACAGCAATATCACCAAACACAGCAACAACATCAAGAACACCAAACACAGCAACAACATCAAGAACACCAAACACAGCAACAACATCAAGAACACCAAACACAGCAACAACATCAAGAACACCAAACACAGCAACAACATCAAGAACACCAAACACAGCAACAACATCAAGTACACCAAACACAGCAACAACATCAATATCACCAAACACAGCAACAACATCAAGAACACCAACAACAGCAACAACATCAATATCACCAAACACAGCAACAACATCAAGAACACCAACTACAGCAACAACATCAAGAACACCAACTACAGCAACAACATCAAGAACACCAAACACAGCAACAACATCAATAACACCAAACACAGCAACAACATCAAGTACACCAACAACAGCAACAACAAGTACTCCAACCAATTCATCAACATCAAGAAGACC